TAATGATTTATAGCAGATAACACATGATTTATTTCACTTCTTTCCACTGTTCCTGTAACCAAAATGGGAACGTAATGTTTCGAAATACATTCCTAATTCATTTCGAACAGATCTTGCAGATATTTCGAAAGTCAAACAATTGAAAATTGCGAGATACGAGACATTTTCATTCCAGAAGCTTAAATCCACCGAGTTTGGCGTTGGACAGCGGCTCCTTGCGAAAGGACGATTTCAAGAAGTCAAGGAAATCAAGTTAAGGTTTTTACCTAACGTGACACTGCCACGATAAAACCATGCTAGTCGGACTGCAAGGTAAAACAAAGCGGTTCATCTTCTGCTGCAGAAAATTTAAAGTTTCATAGCTTGCTCGTAGAACTCGTTTCTTCTTCTACCGCTTCTCCTATGGATCTCGTATTCGAGTCTGCACGCGAAAATGCTCGCTCGAGACTGTTATACGTAAAGTCGCACGGACAGATGAAAAAATGGACGGGAAAGTAAAACGGCCACACAATTATCTTAATGGAGTTGTGGACACCGGTGAGCGCTATCGATTCGATGCGTAAACGCGGCTACGCTGCTGCTGTTCCGTCGCGTAATTCTTGCACGATGGCCAACCGAGAAAAATATCCTGCTGGTACAATGACAGCGGCTTGAAAAATTATACTGGTCGCACTTAAGCCATCAATTAGCCCTGCATCCATAACGTATATTTTTCTCATGTTAGACACAAATCGAGCTCAATTCGATTTGACTTTTACGCCATCTTCGCTACGTTTATTTTCCTGTATTCGTACACTCATTTTATTTTTCGTCAAACAGACGTTTTGTTGCTGTTAACGTTACCTGGTTCGTTATAGTTGTTACGAATTATTTTCATATTTATGTGGACATTTGCAAAGACCACAGTTTTACTCACGATTATAATGCTTCAGATTGTAACATAAAAATTGCTACTATAATATTTGGAATTTAATTAACCGTTGAAAATTTAGACAATAATTAAGGTAGTAGCGTTTGCACATTGCTAAAAACATTCACTGCGGCACTCAATATTAAACAAGATAATTTATTATAACAATATTTTGCTTTACCACGTTGTGATACAATAAATACACCTATTAAGATCTATAATATGTCCTTATTGCAAGTAAACACAATATGCTGGACATTTACATACATGTTCGTTTACAATTTATTATCTAACGATCAAATGTCATCTTGGCACGTACGTATATTTTTCTACGCTACGAAAAACCTGAATTTGCCATAGCGCAATCATATGGTTTATGTTTTCTTCTATGTATTCTTCTATCTTATCTTTCTATGTTTTCCCTTTACTCTTTGTTCACCAACAATTTTTCCACATCTTAAGGAGTTCGGTATATTTTTTCAACAGTTTGTAGCGATCGATTTTTAATTGAGAATCGTTTCATATCTATTGTGTGCTATATACAACGACGGTTAATTAAGTAAAAACATTGTATTTCGTGTTTAGAAACATGCACTGCAATAATAAGCGATTTATGGACTTGCTTTATCAATGATTTTCTATTATTGCATCGGCGAGCATGTTGCAACAAGATTTGCAACAGAGGTAAAGCACAAAATGAACAATCCACTCATCAGAGCCGCCACGTGAGCCGCACGTGTCAGGAACGTGCCAGAACAACTGGTGCCCCGTCGCTTCTGGCACCATGTGTGCCGATGAATATGCACGCGTGCTGTCCATCCGTTTCCTCTTTTCTACTAGAAGATTACTTTGTAGATCGTAGGTGTTACCCTTTCCCGTTGTTTTCGGTTGCTGCTTTTGTTGACCAATTCTAGGCAAATGACATGCACTTGTCTCAACCCTGGCACGCACTATGCCTTTGTTTCGACGTGATAGTTTTGCAATTTTGGAGCTAAGTAAAGAATAACTTCCTATTTTGTGATTCTATATCGAGACATGCTGGACATTGGCTTTTGTACTCATTTGATATTCATCAATAGACTGTGGATTTTATGCATTTATATATATATAAAATATATAAAATAAATATATAATATATAAATAAATATACAGGGTGTCCCAAAAATGTCTCATTTGAAGCAACTTTTTCCTTTACAAAAATTTTCTTCGAGGCACCGTTAACGAGTTATTAACGAAAAACAGTGACCAATAAGAATCGAGTACGGCTGACGCAAGGCGGCCCAGCCAACCCTGTCTCTTATACACATCTAGATGTGTATAAGAGACAGTATACAGGGTGTCCCAAAAATGTCTCGCAATCCGAAAGTGGCGGGTTCCTCAGATCACTTGAAGCAACTTTTTCCTTTACAAAAATTTTCTTCGAGGCACCGTTAACGAGTTATTAACGAAAAACAGTGACCAATAAGAATCGAGTACGGCTGACGCAAGGCGGCCCAGCCAACCCTGTCTCTTATACACATCTAGATGTGTATAAGAGACAGTATACAGGGTGTCCCAAAAATGTCTCGCAATCCGAAAGTGGCGGGTTCCTCAGATCACTTGAAGCAACTTTTTCCTTTACAAAAATTTTCTTCGAGGCACCGTTAACGAGTTATTAACGAAAAACAGTGACCAATAAGAATCGAGTACGGCTGACGCAAGGCGGCCCAGCCAACCCTGTCTCTTATACACATCTAGATGTGTATAAGAGACAGTATACAGGGTGTCCCAAAAATGTCTCGCAATCCGAAAGTGGCGGGTTCCTCAGATCACTTGAAGCAACTTTTTCCTTTACAAAAATTTTCTTCGAGGCACCGTTAACGAGTTATTAACGAAAAACAGTGACCAATAAGAATCGAGTACGGCTGACGCAAGGCGGCCCAGCCAACCCTGTCTCTTATACACATCTAGATGTGTATAAGAGACAGTATACAGGGTGTCCCAAAAATGTCTCGCAATCCGAAAGTGGCGGGTTCCTCAGATCACTTGAAGCAACTTTTTCCTTTACAAAAATTTTCTTCGAGGCACCGTTAACGAGTTATTAACGAAAAACAGTGACCAATAAGAATCGAGTACGGCTGACGCAAGGCGGCCCAGCCAACCCTGTCTCTTATACACATCTAGATGTGTATAAGAGACAGTATACAGGGTGTCCCAAAAATGTCTCGCAATCCGAAAGTGGCGGGTTCCTCAGATCACTTGAAGCAACTTTTTCCTTTACAAAAATTTTCTTCGAGGCACCGTTAACGAGTTATTAACGAAAAACAGTGACCAATAAGAATCGAGTACGGCTGACGCAAGGCGGCCCAGCCAACCCTGTCTCTTATACACATCTAGATGTGTATAAGAGACAGCAGTTCCTCTCATTGGCTCGATCGCCTCGCGCCAGCTGAGCTCGCCTCTCATTGGTCACTGTTTTTCGTTAATAACTCGTTAACGGTGCCTCGAAGAAAATTTTTGTAAAGGAAAAAGTTGCTTCAAGTGATCTGAGGAACCCGCCACTTTCGGATTGCGAGACATTTTTGGGACACCCTGTATACAAAATTGTTTAAGTTAATTGTAAGAAACGTAAGTCAGGTAATGTATATGTATATATATCTATAATAATATATATCTTATTAAACTTATTAAAACAAGAAAGACATTTTTATCTGATTTACGTTTCTTACAATTAACTTAAACAATTTTTATTTTGCATAAGTATCCACGGTCTACTTATAACGTTTGACATCTTTGTGGATCGTCGTACGAAGGTAGCAGATTGGGCACGGTGCTGGTAAAAATGTAAGTTGGAACGAGGAGCAACAAGGGTCGACCCGCATTTTCGACAGAAACTCTGGCACTCAGAGACTTTTAAAGATACAATGATAAACAACGTGAAGCACAGCTTCATGTCGTATATAACAATACCGGTGTACAATGAAGGCGACCAACTGCCGCGTTGACACCACGTCCTTGACGACATATGGGACAGAGTCGATGATCTTCTACTTAATGCCTCATGCTTTGTGCTCCCTGTACTATGCACTTCGAGGGTCACTTGAAAAGGTAAGGGCTGCTACTTCAAATGGATCGTCACTTCCGATACCGATATCGGAGTACGTTACTCAAAAATGAGTGTGTTAGATCAAAGCGGCGTAAGTTAAATCTTCGAAGATTTTGACTTGTATCTTAACACGTAACCCGTACGTGTCAAAATGTTGGAAAGACAAGTGAAAGAAATGATAAAGTTACAATAAATTAACTTCACTCGAAATTGGCTTAACAATAAATTTGGTCAGTAAATAATACACATGTTAGTAAACAATAACGCCTCTTGTTTCTCATAACGATGAGAATGTGACTTAGGCTATTATGACACTAACCCACTGAAATGTAAAAAGCAGATAATTTCACAATCAAAATTTGCAAGCTGATGGAATTGTAGTTGTTGTATATATGTGCATTTCTGTAACATTGTATGTCCGTGTATTTTTATATTCTTGATAATTTGTTGGAAATCTGCTCTATTTTTAGATTATTTCAGCCTTGTATTGTGCAGATTTGTAAGTAGCTGTCGCACCTGATATTGCCGTCTTGATTGATGCTGTTAATACCGTTATCGTTATCCATATCGAAAACGTTGCAGATGACAGTTGCACAGTTTTAATTGGAGCTAATAAAGCTGTCTGTTCTATTGATTAATCCCACAATGTATGTTTTTTTTGTTGCTGTATGTAACATCATCGGATTATAAACAACCGACATTCGAGATTTGTAAAATATCCGTTCACCATCGGAGTTCACCAGATTTTTCGATAGCACATTTTTGGAAACCATATTTGCTGAAATGAAATCCCGTATTAAAACCGGAACACAGATAATCAAATGAATATCCAAGTACATCCTTGATTCGTGCCTATGAACGTTTATCAGCATCTCGGTACATCCCTTCGATAATAATGATTATCCCAGTGATATACAAATCAAAGAGAAGAAAAAGGTAACGAAAACCAGGAAATAATATAGAAATGAAAATGAAAAAGAAATATCAAAATTAAAAGGGACTCACGTTCTTCCTTGATCGGAAAACAGCTTGGTCTTTGAATCTTCCGTTCTAAAACAAAAGGAAAAGAATAAACTAATTAAGTCGATTAAAATAAATCGTCGCACGACATAAATGTAATAAAAGAAAATGTAACTTTGGACGAAAGAAAACTCGGGTTTAAAAAAAAAAACAGAAAAATGAAAATGGAAAATAGAAACGGAACCGGTGTAAAATAGTAAAATCTGTTAAAATCATTGTTTTTAGCCGAATGAATTGTTGAATAATTTCGTTCGTTAAATCTGATTGTACATACAACTTCCTTTCTTACTGCCACGTTCAAGCTTTCATCGTCAGACTTTTTAAAGGCGGTCGGACAATATGCTGTTTGACGTTTGCGTAACACCATAACGTTTTTATAGGACATCCTGTTAGTCGTGTTTCAACCTTTCAGTGCTTTTCTCGCTCCGTGATCATAAATAATTTACCTGCGAACAAGTTTACCTCGTTCAACGTTCAACCTACCTGCGCCATCACAAATCGTACCTGCATAGTATAAATTATTCGAACTTAAGCGTTAGTGCACACAACATTTGGACACATGTGCAAATATATGCAAAATTAAAAATCGTTTTCACGATTTCCTTTTTTAAACATTTAGCTTTTTATACGTTTGACGACTTACTGTTTAGGATTAACACTCCTTGTCGCTAAAGCTGAAGCTGTCGATAACAACGAAATTCAGCTCACTCTAATTCTGGACATTATGGTTACGAATGTAGTATCGTGATATCTACTATTTTCTATAAATTAATGCTGTCTTTTCTTTCGATAAAGATATGTACCATTCAAATAAATACTTTTAAAAATAAATGTTCCAAACCCTCCAGAATGCCACTTAAAATTAACAAAAATTATTCTTACCTAAAGTAATTGTCATACACTCTACACTTATGAAATATATGTAATCGTCAATACAGTCATTTCTCCTTAATTCGCGCTCAGATTGCATACAAAAATGAACAATTTGGGAAGAGGAGATACGATTATACAAGCTTTGCGTCTCGTTTTTATAGTTGTTGACAATCGGTAACTGAAAAAACGAGTCGCAAGGCTCGAATAATCGTGTCTCCTCGTCCATTTTTGTGCACAATCTGAACGCGAATTAGGGAGAATTTACTGTATTAAGAAACATTTAATTCTACGTTCGCTTAGTATATAATCCATATATGAACTTAAAAAATTACCATTCGCACTTCATGCACAAACAGAAACGATATATCGACTGAAACAAAGTCGCACACCAAAGTTTAGGGGCTCGTTGTATATGGGAGGCTTCGATCTTCGAATCTATGTTAGGGACCAGTCACAGAAAAAGAATTGTCCTATGAATTTACAGACATGTAACAATTTGTAACATTTTCAACGAATAGCATGTCTTCAATTTTCCATCTGTTATATTATGCAAAAACAAGTTACAAGAAAATGAACGATGTGTAGCATAAATAGGAGCTCCAAGCTTTGAAATGAGTCAAGGTTTACTGTTGTATGGCTCGGTTTTATGACATTATAAAGCTAGACTACGGATTTTATACATTTATGAAAAAACTAAGCTCATGAAACTTAAAATGATGGGGGCACATTAAATGAATTAAAAAATATTATTTTTAATCAACTGAAATTATTGAAGAGAGGAAGAAGTTTCTATTGGGTTTCTAATTTTCGCAATTGTCGCAGAAAGATTTTATTTTGCACGAAGATCCGCATTTTATTTATAAGTGTTTAACCCTTTACACTCAGATAAACTTTGCACTGCTCTCTTAAAGAATATAAAAACACTGATAATAACGATGGTACTTAAAAAATTAACGGTTTCTGATTCATAAAAGCGACATCAATAATAAGCGGCTTCTATAAATCTTATTTAAACAGAGCAATTACTTCCATCGTTCCATCAGTTAATATTCCCTTTAAAGCGTTGCGTCCTGCTTCGCGAAATTCGTTCGAGTTTTTGATCAGTATTTACAGTAAATTCTTCCTAATTGATACTCAGATTGTGCACAAAAATGGACAATTTGGGAAGAGGAGATACGATTATTCCAGCCTTGCGGCTCGTTTTTATAGTTGTTGACAATCGGTAATTATAAAAGTGCTATACATATATCGTGCTGAATAATCGTATCTCGTCTTCCGAAATTGTCCATTTTTATGTACAATCTGAGCGTCAATTAGGGAAAACTTACTGTACTTCAAGACTGAGCGCGAAGAATGAAATATAGGACAATTCGTCGGAAAATCTGCGATTGTACTGTAAAATCGCAGTAAATGTTATCCAGTTGATGTGTACAGCAACATTGGACCCTCGGTTATCGAGCAGACGTAATCGTAAGTTTGTATGAGCGCGATTTAAACGGTGTTTAGTTCCCATCAAGAGCCACTTAATCTCCGATCGCGTAAACTCGCGCAACAATGGGGAACGCGTGGCCGAGAGGGGCACACGTGATTACGGCCGGCGAAACATCGGTCGTGGAGTCACGTGGCGTTGGAAAAACCAGCAGAACACAAGCCACACGAGACGGTACACCATCGAAAAACCGAACCGCAAACCCGAAAGGACCCACGAACACCACCTACCAAGGAAAACAACCCCGTGAGTCAAGCGTTCCCACGTACACGCAACGCCGGACCAGTTCCAACCCCCGGCGAAACGTTTCAGATTACACGTTATTTTGCTGTTACATATCGCTCTTATGGCCCGATGTTTGTTAACGCTATAGATCGAGCCGATCGGAAAACTTCGCTCATGGGATTTCAATGACTTTCCGCATTGAAACGTTTTTGCCGTGCAGTGATTGACATCGACATTTTGCTTCGTGAACTATTTCGCAGCTACAGTGATCAGTAGTCTACAGAAATTGCATGATACTAGAGTTATGTAGATTTTTATTTGTTTTTAACAGCAATAGTATTTTTAAACTTTTTAAATGCACGAAATACGCAGTGCAGCGATTAGAACTTCTTTGTCGTTCAAAATATTCTATAAGAAAATGACTATTGTTTGTCTGTATTTTCTCCGATGGTTATACATCAATAATAGAAAAAATAGAATTTGATTTCAGGTGAAAAAAAAATTAATAAATTCTGTCCAAAATATTCACCGCCTGTCTGACCCGTTAAAGGCGAGTGATTAATTAATACCAGAACAGAGTAATTACTTTCAACTTGGATCAAAATGCTTGTCTTTTTGAGAATCTTAGTAGATGTTGTGTAAAAGCAGTTTTGAGAAAGTTGCAATTGATCATAATTGTAGTGAAAATACTAAAGATTGCTTTTTATGAGCTTTTTTATCAGAACGTTCACTGCAAATTTAAATATTCTGTACGCATAAACTAACATTTATGCGAATAAGTTATTAGTAAAAACGTTTCCTGTTTTATAGCGTATTTCAGACATAATCTCCCGCCATCTACAATAGCTATGTACGGCATTCAACAAAATATTAGTACTTCGATGATGATACACAAAATACGTAATCTTATCGGGAATCAACCTCTTCAGAGTCACTGTTGTAGCGATAATCTTGCTTCAACCGGTGTGTTATACCGGAATGGAAACTATCGAAAAGGAGGTCGACTCTTGATGGAGCACGTTATCGCGTAGAACAATTTTTTAACTAATGCGTCTACCACGATTCGCTGTGCATGTTTTCTTTTTGTAACAAGCATAAGTCGTGCAATAAGAATATCGCAAAATTACTGGGGAAAACTAAGTTGTAATTTGTAATTCTAAAAATACGGAGATCACAAATCTCGTACTTTCATTTCCTGTTTCTACTTTTCCTCACGTGTAACAATAATATTAAATCTACCGGAAAGTTCTGTCCGATAGTGTCACTTCAAGTTTCAATCCATATGCACATGCTGATTTGAGACATATATGACTATTTCTCTTTATCATTGCATTTACACATATGTACTCTCCTAAATAAACTGAAACAAAGATGTCTCATGTCATTATTAAGTGAGACGCGATCGTGAAAACATGGCTACCGATGATAATGCCAGACCACATGCTGCTTTGGCAACTCGTCAGAAAATCGCAGAGCTAGGCTGGGAAATTCTGTCGCATCCACCATACTCCCCGGACCTAGTACCCTCCGATTATCACTTGTTTCTCTCTTTGCAAAACTTTTTACAGGAAAAAAAATTCAAAACTGAAGCTGATGTCAACCAAGCACTAGTTGAGTTCTTCGCCTCTAAAAATAAATCATTTTTTAAAAATGGCATTTACAAGTTGCTATCACGCTGGCAAGAAATCATAAGTAACGATGGAAAGTATATTCTACAATAAATATTATTAAATGTATGAAAATTGTGTTATATTTCAATTCAAAAACGAACAGAACTTTCCGGTAGACCTAATA